TTAAAATCTGCAAAAAAAAAAAAAAAAAAAAAAAAAAAAAAAAAAAAAAAAGGATGAAACGAGGGAGGACGGGAGGAGAAAAGGGAGGGGGGGGAGGAGAAGAAGAGCTTAAACAGAAAAAAGCCAATCACGAGTTGGAACTGAATCTGAATCTTGTAATCTACAAGGAACTATACTCTGGAAACTTTCAAAAAAAAGAAAAAAAAGAGGAGAGAAAAGTTCTTGAATAACTGGAGCATTTTCCAAAAAAAAAAAAAAAAAGAGGAAAAGAGGAGGGGGAAAGGAAGGGGAGAGAGAGGAAAACAAGAAAGCGAAAAGGTACACGTAAGAAGAAAACACATTGTAAGAATGAGAAGAAGGCTATAGGTATTAGAACTCACTGTACGCCTCATCCCAACCGTAGCTTCAAATCAAGCTCCGTTAAAATCAACCTATCTTAAAAAAAAAAAAATCAATATTAATCAGTGTCTTAATCTAAATGTCATGCGCAGATGGAAGGATCATCTTCTGAAGCTTCCTTTGCCGATTCTCGGATAAGAATCGAGAGGGAAGGGTCGCCACAGGTTGTACCTATCGAGCCATCCGTAGCTAGATGTGAAATGGGAAGGACAATCAAGTACCTCAGGCTGCAAGCGAATGCAACGGAAAAAATTATCGAACTACACCAAAAGTTGAGGAATATCTTGGTTCTAGATCTGAAAAATGGAACACTCTCCAGCCCGATATCAGCACACCTACTGCAGTGGGTGAATTGGGAAGCGGTTTTTGCAGACAGAAATGGGGACAAAGCACTCCCTCCGCCTCTCGACATTGATCATCTGGTTGCGCACCTCCACAAACTAGCTATATGCTTTGTACCGGTATTGAGGAAGAAATCCTAGGTGTCTTTCTGGTAGTGGAGGCCAGAAAATGGGCTTCCATGCTGAGCAACTGGTTCTGGGTCAGAACCTTTGCACATCATGCAAAGGATATCCTGGCGACAACTCCGCTAGACCAGCTGCCGCGAGAATATCTGCGCTCAGCGATTGGCCGAGATGCCCAGCACCATGAAGAAAACAAGGATTTCAGGAAAGGCGCCTTTTTAGCGTTGGGCCTGTCGCTGGGTGACTCCCCGCTAGTAAAAGAGAGAATCGGGCAACACCTGTAATGAAAACTTATGACGTCGAATCCTTGTGGGCCCTTTTCTCAAATTTTGAAACTTCTTCAGGACATCACTCAGCAATCATCCACACGGTACTGGAAGTTTTGGCTTGCCTTATGGACGACGGATCGAGCACTGCAGAAATGAAGACTTGGACGACACACGGACCAAAAGATTGGATTCGGCTCTGTTTCTCAGGGCAACTCAGTCTAACCACTTGGCTATCAACTAACCAGAACTAAGAAGTAGGGAGGAGAAGGAGGAAAAGGCTGGTAAAAAAAAAAAAAAAAAAAAAAAAAAAAAAAAAAAAAAAAAAGGAGGGAGGAGTCAATTTAAAGAGGATGAAGAAAGGCAAGTAGAGGAGACAAGCCTTATACCTCAAAAGCAGCTAACCTTATGGCTCGAGGAACTTGGTCGCATTCACTCTAAAGGAGACTTGCTTTGAGGTATCTAGAAGAACTCAGCAACCCGTCTAGGAGCAGACTCACTTCATGGCTCGAAATAGTTAAGAAAGGACTAATTCTGATAAAAGAGCAGTGAGTCTCTAACCTCGTTGTATTCAAAGGAATGCCAACCTAGATTATAGGTAACTTATGACTTAACCAAATGCAGGAACCTGAAACCGGGAATTGAAGACTGATAAATAACTCTGGCCTATGCAGTTCCTGAACTAAGTACTATGGTACTAGTCGCAATCACCGAGAGAAGTGAAGCTTAGATCTTGAATTCTAGCTATCAAGTCAACGGAGCAGTAAGAGGGACCTTGTAGATTAATAACTAAACCGATTGGTGAAATTTGAGTTTCTTTCATTACGTTAGCACTGAGAATCTAGTGATAAAGGAAACTCAAGCCTGCACTCTGAATTCAGGCATTTGCCAAAGACAGTAGGCTAGTAAGAAGAACCTACAGTCGGATGAATAGCCCTTGATATCTATGATCCATGTGAACTAACCTGAGTTTCTGGCACTATGACGCCTCATAACGAAAAGTTAAAGCTGTATTTTGAAAATTTGGCATTGGCCAAAAAAACAATGGAATGAAAGGAGGATCTGTACTCCGGCCCGTGTATTGCATTTATGTTACTTCAAAAAAAAAATTATACTTGAATAAGTCTTGTCCTGCTTGGAATCGCAATACTCGTATAACGCCCAATCTGCTAATTAAGGATTAATTAATCTGAGGCAAAAAAACAACAAGGGAAACAAAGAAAGCAAGGAGCAGGTGAGCTATGGTCAGTCTATTCGACTCACGGCCATCAAATAACCAAGAACTAAACAATGATAATGCAAAAAA